AATAGAATCTTAAGGTTAAAAAAGAAGATGTAGATAAGTTGTTATCATGATCATTATTCATTTTTATTTACTGATATCCCAAGACCTGTTCAGTTCTCCACAGAACATGTTTCCCCAAATGGCCATTAAAGTTATTTTGGCTCATTGTTATTTCTCAAGAGAGAAACCACTTTTATCTGTCTCCAGAATAATAACAGTTTATGTGTAATAGATTATTCTCTTCTTCACTTCCCTTTGATCATTAAGTGGCTTCATGTATTTGTTCTCTTGGGAGTTCTGCTGAGGAAGAGCGGGGCATCTGCCTTAAATAATTTTTCACTCAATTACAAAACTACTATTACTTGGTTTTCCTTCCTGGATATTTTTAAAAAAAATTTCAGCTATCAATAAAATCTCATAACTATGGGATTTTCAGAGTTAACTTAATGAGGGCAAAGCTTCGTAAAAGTGCATTTTGCTCTTTCCTCTGGTAGAATCTTCCTAGGCTAGTAATTTGCTTTTAGGGCTAAAGTTTCTTTCTTAGTTCTATCATGTAGAGCATCAAAATGATATTTCATGAACAAATAGGGAAGAGAACTTTTGTCTTTCTCTAAAAAAATGTTCATTTAAATTCTGTTTAATAGTACTCCTATGGTTTTTATTGGGCTTCACTTTTTTCTTCAGTTGGCAGTGGCCTTCTTAAGGAGGACAAGTGGAGAATCAACTAGTAACATTACAGAAAAGTGTTACATTTGGGAGGGCAGAGGGACAGGAAATCTGGCTGGTCCTACTGGTTGAACAGGAATGAAGTACACAATTGACGAAGGTCAGAAGACATGCATGTTCCATGAACTTTCCTACCACCTATGAATAAATGACCCAACTACCCCAAGGCCACATCCATAACATCCAGTAGATGCAGTTTTGAAATGGTATAATACTTGAGAGATGACACATTTTATTCTGACCTTGACCTCAGAAAACTTTGTTTAATTTTACTCTTAAGAATTTTATTTTCTATTAAAGTAATGAAACATATTTGGAATTCTAAAATCTAAAGTAACAAAATATGTTTAGATTTCAAAATGGTTGCTTTACCATTGGTGCATTTTACAACTATTTATCCTCTAATGCCTGAGCTTTGGTGTCCAAATTCAAATGCATTATTCTCTTGGCTGATGTGGTCCATGTAAATAAAAATTACATGATAGATGTTTTTGACTATTTTGGATGGATTGAACAAGTAAGATCAATGTAATAATAGTTTGAATTGAATTAAGAATTTAGTAGAACAAAGTCTAGAAAGTCACTGATTTATGAAAATGTTTTGTTGGCTTGATTAAAATGTCATAATTAGTTTTGAGGTTGGTGTGTTCAGAAAGGAAATAACATAACATGATGGTTAACATAGAAATTTTAGGGTCAGCCCTGATCGTGTTTCTAGTTATTAGTTCTATGACCTTGTGAAGTCTCTTAATGTCTACTAAGCCTTAATATTCTCATTTCTAAATGGGGTAACAGCATTGTATATAAAGAGCTTGGCATAATGCTTGTCAGATAATAAGGGCACAGTAAGTGTTACACTATATGACAGTCACAATGTATTTGAAAATGAGTGGCAAGCAATAAAGCACTACACAGATGTGAGGTGCTGTTGCTACATAATTGTCATGAGAAATACGTAGATCTCCTGCACACAGTTGAGATGGGGAGACTGTCAACCAAACATTGTTTATATTGCCAGTGGCTCAATAAAAGGGAGAAAGGCTTAGCTACAAGTAACAAAATTTAAAATGTTCAATACAAGGGTTTTTTGGTTTTGCTTTGTTTTACCTGAAAGCATGAGTGAGCAACCAAGAAACAATGTTCTGAAAATGCCTCAAGGGGTAAATGAATCCTGTAGAGTATGATCTTACCGAAGCAATTCTAGTATAGCGAAGATTTGGCTACTGTTGGAGCATGTATGTGGGGCAGAGGAGTGTGAATGCAAACTCCTGGGTATGATATGCAAGGCCTTCACAGTCTGGTCCCTGACACCTTTCCAGTTTTTTCTTTGCACTATATTCTTCCATATTTTGTATAATCTTCATCATCTCTGATCAAGTCATACATTTGCAAACATCTTTGCTTTTGTTTAACCTAAAACATCTTCCTTCTCTCCCTCACAATTGTACTTGACATAATCAGCACTAAAAAAATCTTGAGAGTTTTTCTAGTCTCACTTTTAGAAATCATAGTCTCTCTCCCTGTGTCTCCCTATCATATTTCTTTTGTCTCCATTTGCACAAATACGTCTAATTTTATTTTATTCTTTTACTTGAAGGCCAGCTCCTTGAGGGTAAGTTCCTTGGGAGTATTCTCTATGCTTTCTAGTCTCTGTAGCCCCTCAGTGCCTGGTCCAAAGCCTTGCATACAATGAGGATTGAGAAATGATCGTTGGATTGAGTTGAAATTGGACTTCCTTGAATAAAGTCCATTACCTACGGGAATATTCCTTCTGAGGTTTTGGGACATAGTTTTCCAAATGGCCTTAATAGTTGGGATTAGACTCTCTAAATCATGGTAAACTTTGCTTGTTCCAGAGAAAGGGGAGTTTGTTAAAAACTTTGCTCTTATCACTGAAAACGATCAGGCTGACATCAGGTATTAGAAGACCTTGAACCGAATAATTTTGGTTAGATCACTGGAAAAGTAACTTCTTACTAAAAACAGCACAGCTGTTCCCTTAATGATATATTACCCCAGAAGCTTGTGGCCTTCTGAAATCTGTTAACATTTGCTGAAGGCAGAAAATTTTAATACCACAATTTTTGGTAAGTTTGTTTAGATACAGCTGAAGAAACATGCGTACTGAGCCTCTACTAAGGGCCACACAGTTCAGTGTTCTAGTCTCTAATGTGGCATTTGATCAAGACATATAACTAAAACCCGCTGTGTTTAGAAGACTGGATGTCAGATTTTGTCTTGTGATTTAAAGCAGTAAAAATTAATTCACCTAAATGGAATCTTTCATATGTCTTTAATGTCTGTAACACCTTCTTATTTAGTAGTTTTCCTTAAAAATTTTTATATTTATTTCATCTATATAAATATAGACTTAATTTCCTTTTAAAATTTCTTACGTATTACAAGCAGTATCTAAAAATAATATTTTTTTCTTACTGTTTCATACTGTGTTTTAATTATTCCACCTTCTTTTTTTTTAACTTAAAAAAAGTAAACTCCGAGGAAATTAAGAAATTTGGACCAAGGGGTAAATAAGAGGACAAAGTTGTGCTAAGCATATGAAATAAGCTTAATGAGAACCTAGCGATGCGGAATTCATTAAAAAAAAAAAAGCTTTGTTTATAAGCTCTTTATGGATCGAATAAACTACAAAGGGAAGCAAATAAGTAATGCTGAAAGGAAATGAAAAAGGAAAATGGAAAATAAAACAATTAAAAATAGTGATTAAAATAGCACACAGAGGTGGAGATGAGTCTTTTGAAGGATAAAAGAGAAATACTGGCAGACAGTAATACTTAAAATGTCAAAATATTCATTTAAATACTTAACAGTCAACCTTGGCTTCCTGAAATTGCATCAATTTATAACCGTTTATCCATTTACCACACACTTAATTTGTTAATGTTTTTTCATTTTTGTTTCATTCATCCAACATAGATTACAGGTTTCAGAGATAGATGGTTTTAACTTGATGCAGTAAAGCAATGGAAATATGTAAAATTTCTGTAAACATAATAGAATGGTGACAGTATGTTTTCTTTTTCACGGACATTCATTAGGTTAAAATATTCTAAAAAGGAGGCAGTGATTTTATATTCTGGGAAAATTCTTTCATAGGAAATGTACATTTCCTGTAATAAATACTTAGAGCCTAATAAAGCTTTTAAAAATAAAATAAATGGTTATTTTTAAGGTAATACTGTCAATAAAGCTAAGAGTCTGAAGATAACGAGGAAATATTCTTACCAGAGGAAACAAGTGAAAAGATTCATAACTTAAACTGCCATTTAAAAAATGAATAAAATATTTTGTGTTTTTATAAATTAGCTCATGTCTTCTCATATTTGGGAAAAAGAATAAAATAAATAACACAAAAGTAGCTTTCCTACCTCAGATATATTGTCCTTCAAAGCTGAGTATAAGTCAAATTCCTTTTAAGGCTACTTTTGGCCTTTAACTCCACCAAAAGACTGCTAGAAACACATATTGATCAAGCAAATCTGGGTTTGTCAGACTCAGTACAGTAAGGGAGAACAGCAGTGTGACAGATTTTTAGCCAGGTCTCTAAAGGGAGAGTCCCCAGGAGGAAGTACACCAGGCCTTATGTGATTTTAAGGCAGATGTTTGCAAGGAAGGAAACTGGGATTGGCAGAATTTGTAACAGAATAGCTTTGGTCTAGTGGATATGGTAAGGAGGTTGTCTTGAAGTGGCCTATTAGACTTTAAAAGTAAGCTGTTTTGGTTGGTTCATAGATTTATCTTCCAAAGTATTTCTTACAGCAAGCGGCTAAATTGCTGTTGCTCAGTCTCAGTTTTGTTTAGCACAGGAACAGTAAAATACATTAGGTCTTGAAACTTTTTAGCCCAGGAACAGTATTATTTCCTCACTGCAAATAACTTAAAATTAATTCAAAGACTGCACACAGATATTTTTCTTTTAGGATAAGCATGCTTCTAGATCTAGTTCATTCCTTCACCATGAAGAAATCTTAAATGACCCCCCTGCCTCTTTAATGCTTTTGGTTCATAAAATATTATATTCCATCTCCTTTTTAAATAGTCAAACTCCTGTTGTTTAATTCACTTGTTTTGTTGACTTCTTCTGTTTGCAGTGTTGTGCTAGCTGTCAGGTACATAAAACTGAATGAGTGGAATCTTGGATGTGACAAACATGTAAACAAATACATGCAAGAACTGATGGCTTGTGCTGTTGAAACATTTTGCAGAGGGTACACAAAAAGGGTGTGGGCGATGTGACAAAGTTTTATGCAGTAGCTAACACTTTTTTTTTTTAATGGAGGTACTGGGGATTGAACCCAGTATCTCATGCATTGTAGGCATGAGCTCTACCACTGAGCTCTACCCCCACCCCAGGAGCTAACACTTGATCTGAGTTTCAAAGAATAAGGAGGAGAGGGAGAGAAAGGAAGGGAATTGTAGGCTAAAGGAACAGGTGTGAAAGTTTGGGAAACTGACAACTAAACAGAATGACAATTTTAAATAAGTATTACTTTATATTAAAATATTTCATTTTTGCTCACTTTCCTTCGAATATAGAGTATCTTATTCCCCTAATAAAACTGAAAGGATCTTGTACATGGGAAATCTTTTTATATCCCTCATGTCATCTAAATCTGTATCTAGAGAACGTGCAATAAATACTTTGATTTATTTATAAGTGGCAAATGAGAAGACAAGGAGGAAAAGTATTGTGGGTTGGACTATTTACTTTAACTAGTTTAGCAGAATACTGTTATTTTAACAGGATTTTCAATGGGTAGAAAACTCTTGGGTGATTCCTATAGTAACTCAAATGTGTAGCTCTCCTCAGCTCTAGAACTATGTTTTCAACATTCAAGGTCAGATTACTAATAACATCAATTATCAGTAATAATAACTCATAAGAAGAGTATTTGCCTGATACTTAGGTGCAGTAATTTTGTGTGGAATGAATGGATGCATGTGTATACCATATTAATATTACTAAGTGTGAAAGGAAGTCAGCTAGGTGTTTGGGGAAAGCTTTTCTTCATGCATTAAAAAGACAGCCCTGTGAGATTTACTCTCCTTCTTTCTTGTCATCTGTGATGCTGATGTGATACAGTCATGCCTGAAGCTCTGATAGCTGAGTTGTTTCAATGAGGTTACAATAGCATAAACACCAGAAAGCCCCAAAACTGAAGATGGCTGAGCAAGAGGCTATAAATAGGCTCGGGTTTTGACAAGTTCGAGTTGAGGAGCCAATTCTGGGCTTCCTAGTTTCTGACTTCTTCTTATGGAAGATTATTAAATTGCTTAAAGAACTGTTTGTCAGGTCCTAAAAGTCTTGCAGGGATAAGCATTCCTTACAGAAGTAATCCCAGGATATGTCTCTTACTAGCTTTTCAATGACTATTTGTGTAATGAATGTTACTGAATTCAGAGGGGCTTGTGGACCCCTTGTGGGTTAAACTAAATTGTGTGAGTCTGCCAGGGCTTCCATAACAAAAGATCACAGAGTGGGTAACTTACACAACAAATTTATTTTCCAACAATTCCAGACACTAGAAGTTGAAAATCAAGGTGTGGACAGGTTTGGTTTCTCCTGAGGCTTCTCTCCTTACCTTGCAGATGATCACCTTCTTGCTTTGTCCTTACATGTTCTTTTGTCTGTGCATGAACATCCTTGTTGTCTCTCTAGGTGTCCTAATATCTTTGTATAAGGACACTAGTCAGATTGAATTAGGGCCCATCCTAATGGCCTCATTTTAGCTTAATTACCACTTTGAAGGCCCTGTCTTCAAATACAGCCACGTTCTAAGGTACTGCAGGAACAGACTTCAACCTAGTGATCGTGAATTTGGGAGGACAGTTAATTCCATAACATAAATATTGTGATTTAGAGACTATTACTGCTTATTTCTTCATATGAACTTTTGAATCAGCTTGTTTTATTCCAAAGAAAATAAATTCTTATTTTTGTTGGGATGCGTTAGATTTGCTGACTATTTTGGGAAAAATTAGTAACCTTATGCTATAAATCTTGTATAAGGACAGGTAGGTTTTTCTTTTGATCAAGTGCTTTTCTGTCTCTTAGGAGCATTCTAAAGTTTTCTTCTTAGAAGTTCTTCATTTTTCTTGCTAATCATTATGTAGCTAGATTGTCTTTGTTTAAACATACTGTATATATTTTCTTTATTATGCTTTTTAAGTGGTTGTGTTTTTACTGAAAGCTGTTTATATTTGTACACAAATCCTTCGTATAGCTTTTAACAGTTTTGATTTTGAATCTCTTGGCTTTTCAAGTACTACAATGTTATTATTTGCAAGTGATATTAATTTTGCATTTGTCCTCTAAGTGTTACAACAGGTATTTCTTTCTTTTTTTCTTTTCTTTGTTCTTTGTCTAAGTGTTCTAGCTAGAAGCCAGTTTTCATCTTTCAGTGTTTTCTGATTAAGTTTGATGATGGATTTTGTATTTATAAATAACTAGAAAATATCCATCTGTTGTTATTTTATGAATGTTTTTAACTCAGAATAGATATTAAATTTCATCAAATGTTGCTTCAGCAACTTTGGCATTTATGCATCAGTATGGGTGCAGGTCTCATGCAGTCTTTCGGTACTCAGATGAAATGTCTCTAGTTGTAACTGTGTGAGTGGATAGAGCTATTTCAACTCTTATAAATAGGCAGGCGGTATGGTCCTACTTTCTGGGCTCACATGGGGAGCCATTTCCTGTTCCCTGCTATGTGTGTGGCAGATTTGACTTCCATACCTACGGTCCCTGAGGTACCATCTCTAGTACATGTATATGGTTACAGCTCCGTCTGGCTTTAATACTGTAATCTCTGCTATTGCTCTGGGCTCCTTCTGCTTCTGAAGCATGAAGATTTTCACACTTTTTGAGTGTGGTCCCGTACCTTTTAATATTTTAAAAATATTTTATTTCAATTTTGGTGTGGAAAGAGACGTATCTGAATGAGGAACTCCTCCATCTTGACCCAGGCATTCTATTCTCTCTGTGCATTGTCACATCACTGAGATACTGAACAGCTTTTATCCAAAGATGGGTAACTCTAGTCTACCCAAAAATTATGAAACAAAATGTTCTCTTTGGTCAGGCCATGTGGAATAGTGAAAAGTCCCTAAGCTTTGAGGCCAGTAAGACTTGATATTGAATCCCAGCTTTGCAATTCACTTGCTTGGGAAACTATTTCAGGACAAATTATTTAACTCCCTTGATACTGAATTTACAAAATAGAACTGATGATAGTTACTACTGATTAAAGGACAAAATAAAATAATAAATAAAAAATGCTTCCCAAATAGGAGAGGTTCAGTACATTTGTCATCAACCCTTGCTCCCCAGGAAGAATACATATGACATACAATTTTATTTTAATATATCCCCATTTCACATTCTTAGGCAAGAAGGAAGGAATTGGGGGCAGGGCCAGAGGGCTGGAAAAGAGAAGAGGAATAATGGAAAGACTTTAGAAGGGCAGTAAGGTAAATTTTCAAGGCTCTAATTTGCTGAACATACCTCAGATATTAAGAACAGGGTAGTGTGGATAATTGAATCACACTGGAGTTTTTGGTGGAACTATTAATTTGATAAAAATGAATCTCTGACTCTTATTTCCCTTTTCTGCTTGCAGACACAGTAATGGTTGGTATAATTTATTTCTGGTGGAAAACGTCACTGTGTACAGCTCGTGACATGATTGATGCACTGACATCTTTTTCTTTCTCCCATTTTACTCTGTTTGTCAACACTGAATTCACTGAGAATGCCCATCATGATTTTGGGTCGTGGGTCCCAATTTGGATTCATGTGCTACAGTTTACAAAAAATATCTTTAAAGAGCACTAAGATCTTAAAGAACACCAAAAACATTTTGATATTTGGGGGCAATTGCTAGCAAAGGGAATCAAAGAACATATGGTGAAAAGCTGTGCTTTTTTTGCACAAACTCTGAGTAGGACTGGACTGGGAGAAATATGAGATAAAAGAAATTGGCCTGAAGACTTCTCTTAATTCCCTCAAACCCAGCAGCCCAGACAGCTCCCCCATCCTTTTTATCTTCCATCCTCTACTTACCCCTCTATCACCGTCACCAATGTCTTTTGGTTTCAGAAACAGATCTGACAAATCTCTTCACTTTGAGGTATTCTTTGTTAGGTCATGATATATAAAAACTATTATAGACTTTTAAATAAACAAAGTTAACAAAAGTTTTAAGCCAACAAATGAACATCTAACTATGGAATGCAGGCCATGAAGGAGCTGACTGAAGGAGAATTTTAGACAGTATCAGGCTTCCTACCAAAGTTTGCCTTGACCCTGGAAGATGATGATCTGAACTTCTCTGAATATACAATTTAGAAGAAAATTCAGAGAGCATGAAACCTACATGGGAAAAGTTCCAATTGTTTTAAGTTTTTCGTGTTTCTTTTTGGTTTAGTATTCTTGTTTCCTTGACAGTTACCGGGGGAATGTTTTCTTTAGAAAGGCATCTTCATTTTTAGGATACCTAAAACCAAAATTCTCTTCAGTTAAAATGGCTGCTGTGAAGGGAATGGACTGGAAGGGAGTAATGAGCTGCTTGCTTAGGGAGAGGGAACCGGAAGCTATGCTAGGAGTCCTCAGATCAGGGTAAGGAAGGCCGACAGGAGGAAGAGTTACAGGGGAATCAAGTTATTCTCTCCACTTACTGTGGCTCCTCCAGTGCCTCCATCATTATCTGATTTCCACAGACTACTGTACCTCTGGGGTTTAACCAAAAGTGCTCTCAACAAAGGAATCCTATTCCTGCTCACATTACTTTGAAGGAATTAACTAGAATGTTTCACAAATAGCCCAACTGAACCGGCTGAACGGGCAGATGTTAAGTTGAAATGCCACATATGTCTTGGTTTGGTTCTTGGAAGACCCAATGCTAAACGACATCAGATATATATTTTTTGCCTTACTTATAACATGACAACATTTCACCATCTCCTTATTGTCAATGTCACTTCCAAAGGATTAAAGAAGGAAGATCTGACCCTGCATTAAAGCTCCTTAGACTTTGAACACAGCACGTTTTCCAAAAAGGAATCAGTAAAATTTACGGGTAGAGTCAAATAACATTTTTCGTTCTGAAGCATTATTTAGGTGATCTGAAGTTCTTCATTTTAAAACTTTGCAAAAAAAAATCATTCAGGTCTGTGTTCTTGGTTTTCTTATTGATTAATTCAACAAATATTTATTAAGTACTTCGCATAGGCCAAATATGGTGATAAATTGCTGAAAATATAAAGACAATTCATTCTGAAAAACTTCATAGTTTAAAGGGGAAGACTATGTCATGAAGTAACAATTAGAAATACAGTGTCATGGTTA